TAATTAATTACTGGCACAATCTGTGCTTTTCCTCAGTCCTGCTGTCTTTGCTTTTTCTTCACAGGTATCATTACCTTTCCATTCAAATACTACTAAATGTACTGTAATGCTAGGAAGGATTTCATAAACATGTTTTAGATCTTTCTGTGGACGTAATATACGTATCCCAAGGGAATTCTCACACACACACAAAAAAAAAAAAAAAAAAAAAAAAAAAAAAAAATAAAATAATTTTTTTTCTGAGTTTCACAAAAGCCATTTTAAAATATTAGGAAACCTAATAAATAAGCCTTAAAAATTTTAGATACCTGTGAGGAGTAGTTCCTGAGAAAAGGTGCATTGAGTATAAAAATCCTCATTGATCAAAGCAGTTGATGACAAATTAAACCTAGATTTTTTACAGTTCGAATTTTCATGGAGATTAAAGAATGGTATTTTTAGAAAGATAAAAGTGTAGAGAATTTGAAAATGCAAAAATCCGAAACCACAGTTTTTTGAAGTTTTTGTGGTTCCAACACCCCTTAATCGTGGATAAGCCATGGTTCAACAAAAAATGAAGTGGTTGTAGTACACAGAGCTTTGATTGGTACAAATAGGATATTCTGGCACTTCAAAATTCATCTATTCGAAAGTAAATTTTATAAGCAGTAAAGATGAATTTAACCTTTAAATGTGCTGAACAGAGTTAACTCGAGTATGATGCATTAAATTACTTCAATGTATTGTGGAAATATATTCAAGAATTTTTTTGTGTTTCGGGTGCTGTATAATGTTCTTTGATTTCTTACTAGTATATGTGTTATTCTTAAAGTCTCGTCATATGTGTTTTGATAGTGATGACATTATATATATAATTTGCCCAAAGATTAACATATATTTTGATAATTTGTTAAAGTTATAAATAGAGCTTAATGTAATATCTTTTGTAATCTTTAAGTAAAGGTAAATCCAAAATGTAATAAATAGTACCTAACTGATGACCATTCCGTGATTTCGGAATGTTTTTGCTTTTTAACTCATTGTATTTCAAATATTACTTCCAGAGATTGAGACATTGTTTAGTATTAAGTATCACCACGCAAGTGCACTAAATATCAACTGAATTAAAAGCTAAAAATATTGTAATTGGCTAATTAGCTGCCTGTCATTCCATTCACTAAAGAAATCAAGTAATATGTAACTTATTTATAGTGGGAAATGTAATTGAGATGAATGTAATAATAATTCATTTTTCATAAATATGAAAAGAATTTTGGTTGATCTTTGGATTATGGTAACTTAGCAATTTTTTGGCGAAAATTTGGTGACCAACTCTGCTACAGCAACCCTCTTTTTTTTTCGATGCCATTTTGTCTTCACGAAGTAAAGACATGTTTCTTTATTTTTATTTACTCAACACTTTTTCCAACAATCTACTAGCCGAATTACACTTGTGCTAGAAATTTGATGTAACAAAACTCCTTAATCATGACAAATATTAACTGCAAAATTCGGAAAAAGTGCACAATCGCAAACTCCTTGCACGTTTTTAAAATAGCACATACACAAAACCATTACCACATCGACTTATTTTACTTAAAAAAACATCCCAGAATTGCACAAAATGGCATTGCACACACTCTTACTTTATCCATCTACCTGCTATTTTCTCATAATTACAAAAATTTGCATGAAAATGCAGGAAAATTTTCCGAATATTTAAACTCGGTAAAAAGCACATATGTGAAATTACCTGATTGCGAAAAAGTATATACCCTTTCCAAGGATGAACATTTCCACGTTTAAAATAAATAAAATATCCAAAAACTTTTACCTCTAATTTATCTATTATATTATAAATGTCACCAACGAATTTCGACCGCAAACATTAAAAATGGTTACAAATACTTAGTGTCAAATATTTAAATTATTTCCATGCACGTTTACTTCAACTGAAACGTATACCAAATTGCTACAAACATAAAATTCACAAAATAACTATCATTTAATTAAAATATTACTAAACCATGTACACGTCAACTTATTTTTACTTAAAAAAACATCCCAGAATTGTACAAAAATGGCATTGCGCACACTCTTCACTATATCCATGTACACTGCTTTTTTCTCATAAATTAGAGAAATTTCACGAAAATGCATGAAAATACTCAACGTATACTACTTAAACGTATTCCAAAATACTACAAACATATAACTCACAAAATCATGATCATTAAATTAAAATATAATTAAATTAAAAAACACTACTTAAAATATAATTAAGCACATACATGAAATTAATAAAAATTAGATTACAATCCTAATTACTTTAAACTAAATCATTGCTAATAACAATTTTCCAATAATACCATATTAATTTATTTACTCCTTACATTTAGAACAATGCATAAAAATATATCCTCAAATGAATAAAAATACTAACTTACCTAATCTTCTTCAGAATGTTCATTACGTGGCATTGCACACTTCCCTACAGAAAGAGTTCCAATCGGCTGCAGTAACTGCTAATTTCTAAATCCGAAATCCAGTAGTCAACTGGCAGTCTATTCACCCAGTAGTAATAAGAAATTAATAAAATTTCACCCATACTCAAACTACTTTCAGCAACACGTACCCTTCCTTACACTCCGTTTCACAAAAATGTCCATTTTCACCAGATTTCTTGCACCGCCATTCAAACTTATCTGTAATATCCTTCCTTTCACACAATCTCATTTCCACATGTTGGACATTCATACTTATCCGCAATTAATCCTACACTCGTATACCATTCAACCAATTCTTTTGAATTATCAGATAAATGCATTAAAAATTTTGAATTCACTTTAGATAGCGCCATGCGAATCCTAAAAATTAATCAACACTATTTCGCACAACACACAATGAAGCTTAATACTGCAGCTATAGTACTGCAGATGTTTTTCCAAATTTATTACGCCCTTTTCCGATTAAAGAACTGTAATTTATTTGTCCATTAATGTCACATGACCATATCTCATGATCTCTCATTTCCCCTCACACAAAATAATGCGTAATCGGAACTGAGTACTTCTCACATTATTACCAAAGTCCTAGGTAGTAACCTTTATCGCCTCCAAAATGTCGCCAAACTACCTGTTACCATATTCCAAAGATCAACCGAATTTGTACATTTGTGCAAACATAAAAACCCAGAAAAATCTTGAATTGCATGATTTCTCTAAGAATAAGCTCAAGTGCAAAAGGTAAATATATCAGCATTGCTTGATAATGCATGAAAATACTTCTTGATAATAATTTCTATCATGACTGGGGGATGGAAACCTCAGACTTTAGCATTTGCATCGATTATTTTTTATTTTTGTCCGTTCTTGTGAATATGTGTGTGTGTATGTGCAGCCATATTTATCTGATGCATTTTTCTAACTAAAGATGCATATTAAAATAAATACATTGCTGTACTTTTATATTTTATCAAATTCTTTATAAATTCAACTACTTTTCCTCTTATTTTCTATAGTTTTATAGATCATCACAGAAATGTGCTATCTAAGAAAATATTCATTCCTGAATTGTTGTGTCTTTATCAATTTGGAAATGCTTGCTAGGGAAGAGACTTTTCAGCTGCAGTGTGTAATACTCTGAGTCATATGCGAGGTGTTCTGGCTATATTGCTTTCAAAAAACTAGGCGAGTTTGCCAACATATAACTGCATTGTCATAAGCAATTAAGTTTTGGCAGACAATATGCTATGACATTTATTTTGGATTGAACAGCAAAGTTTTCTCAAAGATTGTCAATGTATCACAGTATTTGTTATTTACCATTGCTAGCATAAAGTATACCTGCAAAACAGCCCTTCTGTCTCAAAATGCTGAATTTCACCGTCATCAAAGAGGGTATGATGCTACTCCTGCGAAACACTCGTCCGAATCATGCAAAATGAGCATATGTTGTTTTCTGTGATAATGTAGCTTAGTAGTTCATCCTTTTCTCACATATTAAGCCAAAAACTTCAAAGTATTGGCTAATATTTTCCTTCTGTGTTCCTAGGAAGCATTCTTTGAGTCCATTAAAAGGCCAGCTTCTTTAGTCCACTTTTCTAACACAGTTTTGTGAAAAAACTATTCATGTGAAAATGGTGAAATGTTTATTTTTATCGTGAATTTGACCTATTGCTTATATAAGATTTTACATGATCATCAGAATTCTTGCTTCTAACCCTCTGGCCAACATGGGTTTTCATTAAGAAAGCACAAATTTTTTCCAGAACTGCCATGAGAAAGAGGTATTTTCTTGATTTATGTACTTTCCTTATATTGCCGTAATTTTGTGGACATCTTTCAAGCATGTATATATACTTTCCTAAATGCTTTACAGAAAATTCTAGGCCCATTGGTTAAACAATCGTATCCACTTAATGAACTTTGTAATGATAATATGCTTTAGACGTCTGCCAGTGAATCTCCATGGTTTTTAATCATGAAATGAATTAGGTCCTTCATTGTAAATATTTTCATCATATAACACAAAATGTCAGCATTACAGATATGATTTAAAATGTGGTTGGTTTTATGTAAAGAGATGCCAGGAAACTGTGCATATGTAAAATTATGAAAAAGGATATTGTCAGATGGTCCTTGCATAAAAAATATCCTATATACTGTAGTGGCTTTTAGTTTTTCAAACACTTCAGTTTTGTTAGTTGTTGTAACTTTTAACATAAGGTTAACAACCAGGGGCAAATGCTGTCAGTTTTTATTTATCTGCTAAGTATTTAGTTTCATGAATGTGAAAAACTGCTTTTATTCTAGTTTTGATATATTTCAACATTTTGTATACTTGATTCATAAAACAAGTTAAAAAATAATCTAAATTTAAATAAATGTCTTTTTCAAGTTTTTGGAATGGAGGCGAGGGGGGGGAGCAATGGTAAAAAGGGTTGCATGCACCCAAAAAGGTTGAGAACCATTCATTTTCTTAGTGAGTTTAAATTCTTATTGATTATTATTTTGTTTCAGGTTTATCATTGTGGAAGAGGCTCGTGCTCTTGATTTAAATTTTTTTAGAAGTTCAGAAAGTGATGGAAAAGTAAGTATTTTTATATTTCGTAATATTTTTTAAATAATGAAAATAAAATGTTTTCATTTTAAGTTCAATACTGTATTTTTTATTCTTAAAATTGTATCATGTGAAGCATGGTTTTGTGGGTCTTCAGATTGAGTGACCAAGATTTAAAAAAAAAGTGGATTTTTTATCATTATGTAAAAAATCAATGGTGTTATAGTTGTAATCTGAACTAGGAAGGTTTTATTGCCTTATAAGGCTTGATTTTATTCAAAACTTATTTTAGAACTTTCAGTGTAAATTCAAATAATCACTGTGATTTGATTTTATTAGTATAAAATACTTGAAATGCACATGATTAAAGTTATTATTCACCAGTGGAAGTTTATTTTAAAAAATATAAAGGATTAGTACAAAAAAGTTCTGTAATATTTATTGTATTAGCTGCTGCAGCGTGAAATATCTGTAATATAATGCTTTTGAGTACAATTGATTTTGTGTAATAATCACACCAATGATAAATTGTAAGATTAAAAAAAGTTTTAATTATTGCTGAAAACTAAAGTGCTTTTTGTTTTATATATTTATTTGTTGTTTTTCTCTTAAAAATAAACAGCTTCTGCATATATGCTGAACTCTTTATCAGACGAGTTCTTTTCTATCTTGTAGAAATTTTGTGAAAGATTATAATCCAATGAGTCCTTTTCTATTCTTATGATGTTTTGTATGGCAGTCATATTTTAAATACAGTCAAAAGTCGCTAATCCGGACTCATCGGGACTTCGGCCATTCCAGATTATAGATCATCAGTTTAAATCTCGTAAGATGGCATGCAGAAATTCTAAAATTAAAAATATGAAACCGTAATTTGTGAAATAAAGAACAATTATGATCTAAAGGGTATCAAAATTTACCAAAAAAAAAAAAAAAGCTTAATATTTATTTGTTTACTTTATTAAACATTTCTTTCAATGTAAGTTGTTTAAGTTGCTTCGTTTTATGTGATAATACTTTCTCTTTAATTCTATAAACAGACATAATTTCTTGTTCAGTTACAAAGTTCCGCTGTTCAAGTCCCGTAATTGCTGTGCCGAGAATACCGACTAATTTGTCAATCGAAATTTTTTCGTTTTCACTAACCTCTCTGTCACCTTCTTCATGTCTTTATCCATTTTTTGCAGCAATTCCACTTTTTGTTTGATGGACATCGAAACATACTTTCGTTTTGTAGATCCTTTGGGAGCTCCATCATTGGAAATTCTATTTGACATAATCAAAAGTGCAAGTTTACTTTTATAAAATTGCTCTTACAGTCTGCAAAAAATACTAAGCCTGATCCAATTCGAAGATTAAGGAACGACGCAATCATCAACATTAACTGAAATAGATAATTTTAGCTTATACCGTCCGTTATACATTAAACGCGCAGGCGAAAACGTATTCTGCGCTTGCGAGGTCGTGAAGGTCTTACGCGCACGTGTAAAACGCCTGTGTGCGCCTGTGTCAACGCGTCGCATGCGCAGAAAGTTTTTAGCTTTGAGGTCCGGATTATGGCTGTCCGAATTAACGACTTTTGACTGTATTAGTTTTGCCTTAACTGAAAATTACAAAAAAGTGAAAAAGTAAATATGTGTAATATTAACAATTTTATAAAGTTTAATGCTGCCTCATTTGAGCATAGAGCATAAGGTCGGAACTAAACAAGTGTTATAATATCTACATTATACAGAAAGTTTAACAGTCATATCAAACATTTAACAGTGACTTTCAGAAGCCTTCCCCCCTTCCAGTAAGTAATTTATAGTAAGTAAAAACCAACAATTATGTGGCAATAGGAAAAAAAAAAAAATTACTACAACCATGTTTACATATGCTCATAACTCAGTGATCCTATCGTCTGTATTTATTTGATTTATTTGACTAATGCGCATGTTTTAATTTCACTTTGTTATTAATGTTCTTAAATTAGCAATGGAGTGGTTAAACCTTTGACTAAACATAAATATTATAATAACGATAATAATAAAACAGTCAAATAATATTACATTTATTATAATCAGTGAGATATTTATTTCTCTTCTTTCTCTTAGTTTTTTCAAGTTCACTTGTATTTGTGCATCATATTGATGTTGCAGGTTTTCTTCTGTTAAGGATGCCTATGAATTTGTACTTCATGAATCGCATTTTTGGGGAATTAAAAAAAAAAAAAAAAAATCCACAGATGTGAATTAAACCTAAAGCACTTGCAACTTTTTATGCCAGATTTTTCAAATTTTAAACAAAATTTCTTTCGTTATATAAAACTAATAAAAATGTATTTCAATTCGTCATTGCCCTAAAAAACTTTTTGGGCAACGATTAAGTTGAACTGACTGTCAAAACTAGATATAAACTTTCTTATTTCTTTGGCATATTTGAAATTATCACATTCTGAATTTTTAAATTCTTTTGTTAATAGAAAATGTTGAACATTATTTAAACAATGTTGAACATTGTTTAATTGCTATTCAAATAACTATTTCTTTTTAAATACTTTGGGCTAATCTTTGGAATATCTTAACAGGTAGTTTGGCGACATTTTGGTAAGGCGATAGAGGTTACTAGCTAGGACTTTAGCAGTGTACATGGATAAAGTCAAGAGTGTGTGCAGTGCCATTTTTGTGCAATTCTGGAATTTTTTTTCAAGTGAAAATAGGTTGACGTGTACATGGATGATACCGTGTATGTGCAATTCTTAAAAACGCAGCAAGCAGTGGGTGATTCTGCACTTTCTCCCAATTTCGCACCTAATCTACGTCATGATTGAGCATTTTTGTTCCATAAAAGTTCTAGTATAAGCATAATTCGGCTAGCAGATTGTTGAAAAAAGTGTTGAGGAAAAAAAAAAAAAAAAAAAAAAGAGCTTTTTACCTTGTGAAAACAAAATGGCATCCAAAACAAAACTAGCAGGTTGCTGTAGCAGGGTTGGTTGCCAAAAAATCGCCAAGTTACCATAATCCAAAGATTAAACCATACTGGATTTGGATAAAAACAGCAATTACAAAATAATCTTTCCCTAGTAAAGATATATTTAATAGATTAAAGTTTTGTGCTATTTTTATTTAAAAGCATAAATCCAATAACCACATATCATTACTTAATTCTGCACTGGTTTTTATTTTTAATTCATAAATAAATTCCTGGACATAACTCAAAAAATCTTTGTAAACATTTTGCACAACATAATTACCTGACATGCCTAAAACATATAATTTCACCATATTTAGCAACGAATTCTGTTAAAAATTCCATGAATTGTTGATGCAAAAATGCATGTGATTGAATATGATTTACTGTTTTTATTACTACTTGCATTACATGATTCATGGATAATACTTGAGTGTAAAAATTTTGTTGTTGAATCAAACTATGGATAATAATTGAATATTCTTTTTTAATGCTATTTGATTTAAATTTATTTATTAGTAATTTTACAGCTCCCTTATCTTTACCAATCATGGCTCCTGTGTCATCAGTTGATACTCCAGAAAGAATTTTCTAAAAGCGAATTGTTTTCTCATAAACATTTTTCGACGCCCTGAAAAATATCTTCTTCTTTTGTGGTGCTTTTACATTTACTGATCAGCTTTTTACATTTTTTTCAGATATTTGAAATAATTTCCATGAATTAATAGTGCAAGCTGAACTGTAACCGAGATGCCTACTTTTGTTATATGCCATAGCAGAAGATTTGAAATCTTAAATTATATCGCACAGATTTGCGACAATTTCATTTACAATGTTGGTAATTTGACAACATACTGTTTGCCAAGATAAACTAATATTTTAAAATAATTTACTTTTATCAGGCACAATATCTTTATCAGGTTGTAAACATTCTTATACAAACTCACCATTTGAAAATGGTTCAATTTTTTTAGCAATTAGAAATAACATGGAATAACTTGCCCTCACAATATTAGGTGGCTGTTTTATTAATGTAAACTAATCATTCTTTGTTGAGCCTTTAATTGTAATTCAAATTCTGTTAGCTTTGATTCATTTACTTCTTTCTTCAATACCACATAATCACTGTGTTTTTCTTAATGCCTTTTTACATTGTATTCTTTAAATGCTGCAATAGTTTCTTGACAAATTGAGCATATTAATTTGGAGTTTTTAATAATAAAACATACCCCCTTCCCGGTTGTTTGTTTTCATTATTATTTTTTTTTTTTTTAATATATATAAACTGGTGAAATAAATTAAGAGAATTTGCATGTTTTATCAAATTGCTTAAAAAGAACTGAACTGAAGGAAAAACCACTGCTTCTAGGTAAAAATGCAAATCTTGTATGGTAAATGTGTAAGCATACACGTGTGTAGGCGGAGCCAGCAGAAAAAACATCCTTTATAAGTGCGTGGAGGGTAAGATGAATTGCGTTCGCTAGCACACTTCAGCGAATTTCTTGGTGTTATCTTGCAGCATTAGGTTAAATTCACATCGGAACAGTAAAAATGAGTAACCACCAACGTTTAGGTGATGGAATGAGGGGGTGAATTATGGGGAGGCTTGAGGCAGGCCAATCACAAGTCCAGATATGTAGAGAGTTTAATTTAACGCCCAGCGCAGTCTGTAACCTTATGGAAACAGTTCCAGGATACTGGATCCATCAAGAGAAAGCCTGTGCAAGGTCGTAAGTCGTTCAAGAGCCACGGCGGCCAGATGAGATCGCTATTTATCCATTTTAGCAAGCCGTAACAGAGGGGCTACGGCTTGTCAGCTCTCTCGGGACGTGTATGCAGCCACAGGAAACCCGTGTAACAAGGATGACTATTTCCAAAAGACTTGAAATGAGAGAGGGATGTTTAGCCAGAAGACCGGTTGTTTGCGTCCCGCTCACGTCTACGGATAGGAGAGTCCGATTAGCATGGTGCAGTCGCATTGTGATTGGAGTACAGAACAAATGGCGACCGTTCTGTTCACCGATGAGTCCCATTTTAACCTAAACAATGATTCTCGCCATACTTTCAGAGGGTAGGTA